AAATCATAGTTCATTTGCAATACGCTCTAAGTGTCGCCGACCCGCACAAACATTTGCGAAAATTTTATATAAAGGAATGACAGAAAAAATCGACTCGTGTGGCTGAACTCTTTCTGCTCGTGTAAACGCACAGAGCCACACCAAAAGAGAATTTGCCGATAATGAGCGATAAAAGAATCCTCACGTGGACACCATCTTACTTGAGAGCGTGCTTCTTCTTACGAATATATTTTTTAATTTATAATGTAAATTAACATTTCTTTTATGTTTTTCCCCCGTAAATTTCTTGTATACATTTTGATGATTTGGTGTGATTTATTGTAGAATCTATTCGTATTCATTTATCACTTAAAAAACATATTAAGTTTGTTTCTTGTCTGATAATTATCACTAGCTAAGCCAAGTTTCTGCTGTAAAAAGCTATTTTTAACTCAAAGATCTAAGAGAAAAGAGCACAAGTTGAGAGGGTAAGAAGCAGAGAGAGCTGCTAGTTTCTGCTAGCAGAAAATAGCTAAATATGCAGAAACAACTGTTAAAACACATGTGTAAACAAGCGATATTTTACGCATTTGCTTTGATTTTTATATTTTAATAGTTTTGAATTGTGAAAATAAAAATTGAAGTTCTGCTAGTTTTCCGCTTCTTTACTTTTTCCTCTTTTTGAGCTTAACTTCTCAATTCTCAGTCTTGTTCTTCCTGAAAGCTTGCAGGTACTAGCAATTACGAAACAAATTAGTTTTCATTGACTGGAATGTTTGAAAAATACATTTTTGAATTATATACGTAAAACAAAAGTTATTTTGAGATTTTATCCGGCCAAGGGCTGTTATTTCGGCCATCTAACTCTGGATCGGTAAGTGTTAGTTTAAGTTTGTCGTCATTAGAGCAACACCTAGGAGCAGGGTTGCTCCGTATCCTCTTGGCCTGTGCGTGGATAGCGCACCGGAAGTCCTGCAATCTCTCCACCGGTGCAAGTAAGCTTTGGACTACTGTCAACGTCTTGTCTAAATCGAAGAGACATGACGACCGGGTTGAAATTCAATTCGATGGCCATGCCTTCTCGGACCCGAAGAAGAGCGCGAGCTATTTTAGCCGGCAGTTTACATTGCACCCTTCGACCGACAAGACCAAACGATGTGTTACCTGACGGCTACGCAAAATGCCAAAAGACTGCGCACCACTTACTTTCACCGATGGGGAGGTTCAGAGTGTCATCAAAAAGACCAAATCGTCTAAATCCATTGGCCCTGACGGAATAAGCATGCTGATCATCATCTGACATCTAGGCTCGAAGGGAGTAAGCTACCGCACCAAGGTCCTCAACTTGTCGATGTCCATTCTTCAAATACCCGATGTGTGGAAAGTCGGAAGATAGGTCCCACTACTAAAAACCTGGGAAACCTTCAAACAAAGGGACAAGACCTTCCAACAAAGAAAAGACACTTGAGGCCTTGCTACTCGCGACATTCACTCACCACCTGAGTTTAGCAGACCATCAGCATGGCTTCCAAGTGTAGAGCACTAAGCGTCATAAACGCCCAGATAATTCATGGCCTAAACCAAAAGCCACCATGCGAGAGGACGATCCTCGTAGCGTTGGACTTGTCAAAAGCTTTAGGCACAGTCAATCACACAATGCTACTTGAGGATCTAGAACAATCAACGCTCCCTCCAGGGCTGAAGCGGTGGACCATGAACTACCTGAGCAGTCGGCATTCATCCGTGCTGTTTCGAGGCCAAAACTCTAAACTTAGAAGAATTAAACAGGGGGTTCCGCAGGGCGGTGTTCTCTCCCCACTACAGTTTAATTTCTACATTTCGAAACTCCCCCCACCCACAAGCGGGAATTTCCGTGACCTCGTTCGCTGATGACTGCATGATATTGACGTCGGGCAATGGAATCGATAGCAGGTGCTCAAAAGTAAACAGCTACTTCTCCGGCCTTTCTCGCTTCTTTTCTGCAAGGAGTCTGACACTCTTCCCCACTAAATCCACAGTGACCATTTTCACAAATTGGGCGAAAGAATACAGACTGGAAATGAACATTTCAGTCGATGGCACAAGAATTCCGACAGTTAATAACCCTAAAATTTTAGGCGTAATATTGGACAGTCTGTGCTCCTTCACTCCGCACACGACCGTGATAACTGCCAAAGTACAGAGCCTCAACAAAATCCTCAAATCGCTTGCCGGAAGCTCTTGGGGAAGAGACAAAGAAACGTTATTGGCAACATACAAGGCAGTCGGCCAGCCGGTCCTAAAATATACATCACTAATATGGTCGCCTGGATGTAGTTCAATGCAGACGAAGAAGCTTCAGACTTGTCAGAGCACTGCACTCCGGACTATCACGGGATGCCTCTTGATGTCCCCAATAGAACACCTGCACTGAGGCCCTTATGCTTCCGGTTAAGAAACGTAACGAGCTCCTCTCCAAGCAGTTTCTGCTGGGGGTTTTCGTAAAAATCGTCTGCTTGAAGCGAAACCGCCTCCTAGGAAAATCAAAAGGTCATTCCTTGATTACGTCGACGACATCAGACAGTACGCCGACCGGACTTCGCACGCAACAAACTACTGACAAGCACTGACCGCCATTCACAGTGGAGCCATTAACACCTTCATCGACTCCTTCTCAATAAATGGCGTACTAGGAGTCAAACCACCACCCATAGCAGACGTAGAGCTTGAGTTATCTCGCGAAACCAGAGTAACTCTCGCGCAACTTCGTTCCGGATATTGTAGCAGGTTAAACTCCTACTTATCCAGAATAAACCCCGACATTCCAAACATATGTCCTGCGTGCAATTAGGCTCCGCATGATACTAACCATCTCTTTGCATGCCCAACAAACCCAATTCATCTAACACCCTTTTCCCTATGGTCCGACCCCGTCGAAACAGCCTGTTTCTTGGGCCTTCCGTTAGATGACCTCAACGACAACCAAACTATCACTTATCATCCAAGCGGGGACTAGATAACCGTTACAACAACAACATTTTAAGAGACTTTTGATTAATTACTGTTTTTTGGGCTATCGACACAACCTTATATAATAGAATCACGAACGCACCCTATTCTGTTCCTCTAATTTTAGGCAACTAAGCGGATTGCAAAGCTTACGCTTTCTCATGTTACCAACACGTAAACCGAACACATCCACGCAAATTCTGGAATTCGAGTGAAAGTGGAAATTAAATTCAATTCCAAAACGCGTGTACCAGAAATTTGTTATTTTCGTCCCCTCAGGGACCCCGTAGAGCAGAGTATCGAAGAAGACCCGAATGAGTTCATCCGCTATCGCGCGCAACAATTTAAGCTGTACCAATCCCCTTTAAGATTTTGAGAAAGGAAAGTGGTCGAAAATTGGACTTTTCGGCTGGAATTTATTCGAGCCAGCCGCGGCGGACGAAACATAATGGCAAACCCTTATCTTCATAATAAAGCTAATTCTTCGCCATAATAGTTAATTATATTAGCGCTTTATTTATTCTTGAAAACCACATCTTTAAAAAAAAACACTTTTCACATTAATCTCGGTAACTGATTCCGCATCGACTTTATTTTTGTCTCCCTTCACAAAGCCTCAGGTCATGTGTCTATGAGCTTCCACAAATCGAATAATAATAATTGCTCCTTGCTCTACGTTTTCATGTTTTCCCCTTTAATAATTAACAATTACTTTTAATATGAAAATACCTATACTATTTTAAATATTTTTCTGCATAATTTTAGCACTTAAATTTACTTACATGTGCGCACACCAAATTCACACAATTGATTTGAAGTGAATAATAACCGAATATTTTCTTGTGAATTCGTTTTTCAGAACACTGATTTCCACTGGGAATTTATTTTGAAAAATATGTGGAAATTAAAGTAGTGAAAATGAAATTGGCAAAATTGCTCAAAACATAATTATAAAAGAAATCTCAAAAGTCCTCATCATTCCGGTGTCCGATTTTCAGCAAAACCTCGAGTTTTTTCGTATAATTACCTCAGAACAAAACTGTAGATCACAAAATTTTCTACAAAAACTGTATCGTTTTTTTTCCTAAGAGCCACCATTTTGGAGATATAACGCTTTAAAAAGTTGGATAATTTTTAACCATATTTTGCACACGTTTCCAGGTATAAACATCACTGAAGCTGTTAAATAACCAAAATTAGTTTGCTATTGGTGATTTTAACTTGCCTATGTAAATTATAAATTAAATTATGAGAATCTCAGGTATAATGAAACTCAGTCCCTAAATTTATACGCCAGTGTAACCTTGGTATAAACTACTTGTTCAGATAAGTTGCGATACGTGTGTTTCGTTAACACGCGTAGTAAAAAACAAGTTCAATTAGCTTGTCTTTCTCCAACCTCAGTAGCTGCTTATCAACATCTGTTTAGAATATATTATCAAGTTCAAGTGTGGCTTGGTAATCAGCTGGACCCTAGAGACTGGGGTTGGAAGTTGGTCGACAACACAGTAGAGCCAGTTCAAACTTTACTTCCACCAGCACCAAAACAACGTCTTCTTACGATATTTTGCAACTGTATGCCAAATGTGGTTGCAAAAAAGTTGGACTGTTTTGTTCCGTGGCATGCACACCTTATCACGGTCGGTCGTGCTCTATTGTGAAACACCACCCTATGATACCGATGAGTAATCGCTATTGGGGAATCAAAGTGAAATAGAAGAAGATAATAAGAAGAAGAACGAGAAGAAGAAAAAGAAGAGGAAGCAGAAAAATTTGAAACTATGTATCCGACGAATCAATTTAGCAATTTTCTTTTTTTTTATTACTCGGCCTTCATTTTTACCAACCCTTATGAAAGATATTGGCTAAATGACCACTCAATCCCCCCTCACCATAAAACACTGTACACCACATCAATTCACATCCACTTCACCACATCTACTTACCATACATTCCACATCACTACACCATACACCAACACGCACACAAATACAACATCACCACGTTCACACCGCCATGAAGACAGCAACAGATATATAAGGGACTAAAAAAAGGATCCCGGTCGCTTTTTAGTATTCGATTCGCTACGATCACATCTTTTTCGGTTCGGACACCCGCCTAAATTCACTTCGTTTTTTTTCCTTGTTCAACTGATTTTACGAACGGTGAGTGTAATTAAAATTAATTTATTAGGTATTTAAATATATATTATTTTGCATTAGTTTTAAAACAAATAGAATCACAGACGACCTGTGGAACAGGCCTACTGGGGAAACCACGTTAAATCGTATCTCGCTAAGTAAACTACCTCATAGGTGGCGTGGAAACGTGCGCAAAATATGAGGATTACAAATTATCCAACTTTTTAAAGCGTTATATCTCCAAAATGGTGGCTCTTAAGAAAAAAAAATTTCCGTATTTTTTGTAAAGAATCTCGTTATCTAAACACACGTAACAACACGTAAGTATATAATAAATAAAAATTCGAAAATCCGATGAAAAACTTTAAAACTTCTGGATGAATTCCGAAAAATGTCTTTACACATTTTACTAGCATTGAAGCATGCTAGCGTGTCAAAAAAGAGTGAGAAAGCTGTTCCTTTATTAAACCTTTAAATGAACCATTTTAGTAATACATAATACACAAAATATTATTACTGGCTGATTATACATATTAGAAGTGTTATAGTATTATTTCAAATATTATTATAATTCTTAGTATATATGTTCATATATTTACCTGATGAAGTTTGTGCACACTGTTTTGACGAAACAAAATGTCCATTAATGAATGGTTCTGAGGACACATTATTATTACTGCTAATGCCTGGCAGGGGAGGAGCTGGTCGATTGAATGGATTGTATCTTCGGGGTGGTGGTCTTGGCACATTTGTTGCGGAATTGGCTTCGGTAATAATTTCTGCAATTAATTTCGAAGCTTTTTTCCTTTCTCTCTACTTATAACAAATATAAAATTGTTTTCTTACATAAGAGCCATACAGTGAACCAAAAACAACTTGTACATACAGATGTTTTGACTTTGGAGGGACTTTTCTTTTAAACTATTTCAGCTTTTAAGCTTTAACCAATCTTATGTATTTTTCGTATTTTTATAAATATTTTAACAATAAATCAATTTTGATGTTAACGATTGTCGATAATTAAAATATCTCATTCTTTTGTAAAAAAAACTTGTACACTTACTTTGGCAACACTTTAAATGCAAATTCTTTTGTGAGGTTGTAGTTTTTGAAGAAAAAATGATAAATAAACACACATCTCAAAGTTTACAGTTAGTCAAATATTGACAAGGAGCAAAAGTACCAGAGAAATAGCAACATGTTAAAAAAAACACAGGCTGATTTCGTAAACGCCATTATATTAATTTGGCCAAGGTATAAAATTTCTGAATGTATGACCACCGTATTCACGCGCATGAGCTGTCACAATTTGCATGAGTTTTATTTTGCATGCATCGCATTGAAAATATTTAAAATGCAAGGTTCGCCGAGGAAATAAATAATTTATATTAATATAACGGGTGATCCAAGCAGAGGTTCTTTTTTCAATAGCCTTTTTTTCACAGATCACTTGTGATTCGTGTCAAGTTGTCATGTTATTTTTGTTCAGTGTTGTTTTAGATCAGATTTACCCTGCCCCCGTCGATTGACAAGACCAAACAATGTGTTACCTGACGGCTGCGCAAAATGCCAAAAGACCGCGCGCTACCTAGGCACGACGGGATGAAAGCTATCTCACCAAGGTCTTGAACCTGTCGCTGACCACTCTTCAAATTCCCGATGTGTGGAGTCGGAAGAGTGGTTCCACTACTGAAACCTGGGAAGCCCACCAACAAAGGGGAGTCTTATCTTCCGATAACTCTCCTTTCCTCAGTAGTGAAGACACTTGAGACCTTGCTACTCCCGACATTCACTCACCACCTGAGTTTAGCAGACCATCAGCATGGCTTCCGAAAAGTGCAGAGCACTAAGCGTCATAAACGCCCAGATAATTTATGGCCTAAACCAAAGCGTAGCGTTGGACTTGTCAAAAGCTTTAAACACAGTCAACCACACAATGCTACTTGAGGACATCGAACAATCCAAGCTCCCTCTAGAGAAGGCGGTGTCCTCACCCCGTTACTGTTTAACTTCTACATCTCGAAATTCCCCCAACCACCAGAGGGAATTTCTTTGACCTAGTACGCTGATGACTGCACGATATTGATGTCGAGCAATGGAATCGATGGCATGTGCTCGAAAGTAAACGGCTATCTCTCCGACCTTTCTCCTCCACTAAATCCACAGCGGCCATTTTCACAAACAGGACGAAGGAGTACAGACTGGATCTAAACATTACAGTCGATGGAAAGCCTGTGCTCCTTTACTCCTCACACGACAGCGATAACTGCCAAAGTACAGAGCCGCAACAAAATCCTCAAATCCCTTGTCGCCAGCTCTTCGGGAAAAGACAAAGAAACGTTGCTGGCAACTTATAAGGCTGCTCCAATATGGTCGCCTGGATGTAGTGCAGACGAAGAAGCTTCAGATTTGTCAAAACACTGCATTCCGGCCTATCACGGAATGCCTTTTGATGTCCCCAATAGAACACCTCCATAGTGGGGCCCGTATGCTTCCGGTTAAGGAACTGCTGGGATGTTTTCGCAGAAACCACCCCTGCAGACGCCTGCTTGCAGCGGAGCAGCCTCCTAGGAACATCAAGAGGTCCTTCCTTGACTACGTCGACGACATCAGACAGCACGTCGACCAGACTTCGGACGCAATTAACTTCAGACAAGCACTGACCGCCATTCACAGTGGAGCCATCAACACCTTCATCGACTCCCTCTCAGTGAATGGTGTACTAGGACTCAAACCACCAGCCATCGCCGACGTAGAGCTCGAGTTAACTCGTGAATCTAGAGTGACCCACGCGCAACTTCGTTCTGGATACTGTAGCAGGTTAAACTTCTACTTATCCTGAATCGAACCCGATATAACCAATATATGTACAGCATGCAATGAGTCTCCGCATGAGACTAATCACCTCTTTCCACGCCCAACGAATCCCACTCATCTAACACCCATTTCCCTATGGTCCCTATGGTCCGATCCCGTCAAAATAGCTCGTTTCCTGGGCCTCCCGTTAGAGGACCTCGACGACAACCAAACTATAGCTTACCACCCAAGCGGGGACTAGATAACCGTTACAACAACATAAAATAAGTGTGTAGAAACGAATTAGTAAAGTGTTAGTCGATATAAAAGGGGTCGGCTTTAGTATACCATCCCTCGATTTCAGATTTAAGAGGGGTATGGTTGGATAGAGGAGATTTTCCAGATTAAGAATACAAGTATATATAATTATAGCTGCCGGAAACTTATAGTTTTCGAGATATTTGACTTTAAAGTTAAAAATTTCACAAATTTTATCTTACAATTTCTCGATTCATAGTTAATTTTTCTTTTATACAATGCACTTATTATACACTTACACTTTACTAAAATGTTTCTACATATTTATTTTATATTAATTACTTTATTATTTGCTTTAAATAAACATTTTATTTTTACACAAATTTCGTCATATGCACAATAACTAATGGGTTCCATGTTGACAGATAATAAGTGTTGCCATATGCAACCGAATGAAATCAATCAAAATAAATAAAATACCCAATTATCCTCTACAAATTTATGAACAATTCAACGACAAAACGAACAAAAAAAAAAGAAACGGTACCTTGTTTAGTTGTAACAATATCCGTTATAATCCGTTATAGAAAATGAAGATTAAGGAGAGTGGATAAAATGGATATGGGCGGAAAGATGAGATCCTCCAGATCAAGAATATATATAGATATAGCCGCAGGAAACTTATAGTTTTCGAGATATATACATTTAAAAAATTTCAAATATTTAGAGTACGAGTTTTTTCGATTTAAAATGAATTATACACTTATACTTTTCACCTTTATATAAACTAACACTTTACTAATTCGTTTGTACACATTTATTTTACATTATATGATGCAAAAATAGCTTATTTCAATATTTAAATCATTCTTCAATTTTTTTTATTTTGACGATAACAAAAGGGTTGTAAATGTCAAACAACCAGTGTTGCCATACTAATATATTTTGCAAACGAAGAAAAATAAAATAAAATGAGAGATTATACCCTAAATACAGGAACCATAAATGTTGATGGACACCAATAAATCTTTTAGTTTCCTTCCCCGGTGTTGAACTGACCAGCGCTATTTTTTTTAAAGCGCTGCCGAAGGCCGTCGACACCAATTCCCACAACAGCCGGTTCTGCGATACCGGAATTGACCCGGATTTTATCCGGCCAAGGGCTGTTATTTCGACGATCTAACCCTGTTTGGATCGGTAAGTTTTAGATTAAGTTTGTCGTCACTGGAGCAACGCCTAGCAGCAGGGTTGTTCCGTATCCTCCTACCCGTGCTGGCATCGAGTCCCCGGGCCCAGTATTCTACTGCTGCTATGCGCAAAAGGCTCCATCCAAATTCCACCTCGTTGGGTGCATACATGCAATGGATGGACCATCTTAAGACCTGCTCGGGCCTTAAGACACACAGGAGTGGACCACGAGTTACGTGGCCCCATGCTGTCAACGCACTAGCGACATCTGCCTCAACGGCCGTGCACCTGCACATGTTCGCGCACTGCGCTGCCACTCACATTGAGTGGCCAAAATAGGACCTCCACGGTCTAGGAGCTCACAAAGACACGCAACTCCCAATCGACAACCTCCCCCACCTTCATCAGCTCAATCCCGTGCGAGAACCGCGTCCTGGTTCTCTGGTCTGTTCCGTCTGTCAGACCATAATACGCGGAATGTCACATCAGTCAAGTGCAATTCTTGTACTGGCTGGTGTCACTTTCTGTCGTGTTCTGGCCTGCGCACCACACGAGTGGAGTGCGTCGTGGTTGCCCCATGCTGAGTCTGCCCCCGCAATCAAACAGTGGCGTCGCCATCAACACCATGGTGCGACAACCGCCCATGCGGATAGCACTGCAACAACCACCACCTACCGCCTCACCCCAGGATCAGACTGGACACCGCGACAAACGCGACTCTTACAATTTACGCCGGACTCAGAGCAAGATCGGAGATAGTTGCATTTATGAACCGGGAGCGCAGCGATAGCTGCGGTCAAGAAACCAAGTTAAACAGCCGCTCAGATCTTCTGAGTTGTGCGTTTCAACGTTTTGATGGGATCGCGAGCGAGAAATGTGGAGGCCAGCCTTCATGATTACTGACACGTGCAATATCGTCTAATCGATGTTGACATCGACCGCAGGGACACTACCCTGAGAATGTCAGGGAATAGCTGTCCGGTCAGGCGATCGAGCTCGGAAAATATTTAATATACATCCCCCAGTTACATGTTGCCCAACGGGATAACACCCGAATATAGATGCGCCTACTTCGTGGTGAAAACCGTCTGGTGCTAGGCGGCTTTAACGCGCCATCACGATCTTTGGCATTCCTGCCTGTCAAACGATCAGGGGGATGAGCTGGCGGAACAGATAGACGATTCGACATTCTGCATAATGAATGACGGCCCCCACCAGTATGGTCACCTGTAATAGCTCGCCAGATATTACCATCTCTACCGGTGGTCGAAAATAAATATAACCTGGCGACCTATGCTAACTCTTGCATCAGACCATCTGCCATAATTATCTCGATCGAAAACTCTGACTTTCTAGCTGGATAACCGCACCTATGTTAACTTTAAGCTAACTGGGTCGGCTCACAGTTACTGAAGCACCTTCAACGCTATCCATTCCTACGACGTCATCTGTTGGCGAGCGTCAATTCCTGGTGATCGCTGCTGCTACAGCTCTTCCCACCGGCTGGAAGTAGCGGAACTCGCCCTAATTTCCCAGCCGAAGCAGCTGTATTAGCAAATGAGCGCGACACCTACGCTGCCGATCCTGTGATCCCCGAATAAGGGATCTCAATTTGGAATTCGGCAAATGGTAAACCATCATAGCGACAAAATGGTGAGCACCTGAAGTCTGCAACCTCTCCACCGGTGTGGTAAGCTTTGGACTACTGTCAAGGCCTGTCAAATCGAGAAACATGACGCGGGTTGAAATCAATTCGATGGCCCCCTCCTCGGACCCGAAAAGTGCGCGAGATACTTTAGCCGGCAGTTGCACCCTTCGACCGACAAGGCAAACGATGTTGCCCGACGGTTGCGCAAATGCCAAAGACTGCGCACCACCCTCACCGATGAGGAGGTTCAGAGTATTAAAAAGGCGAAATCGTCCAAATCCATCGGCCTGACGGAATAACGTAGCTGATGTTATCCTGAACGAGGGTAAACTACCTAACCAAGGTCCTCAACCTGTCGATATCCACTCTTCAAATACCCGATGTGTGGAAAGTCGGAAGAGTGGTCCCTACTGAAACCTAGAAACGCCAACAAGAGTCTTATCGGCCGATAACTCTCTTTCCCGTGTGAACCGCGGTCCTCCCGTCATTCACCCACCACCTAGCCTACAGACCATCAGCATGGTTTCCGAAAGTGCACAGTACCACACGCAGCGTCATAAACGCCCAGATAGTTCGGGCCTGACCAAAGCCACCCTGCGGAGGCGATCCTCTGGCGTTGGACTTGTCAAAGCTTTTGACACAGTCAATCGCACGCTGCCGAGGACCTGGACAATCAACACCTAGGGTTGACGGTGGACCATGAACTACCTGAGCAGTCGACACTCATCCGTACTATTTCGAGGTCAAAACTCAAACTCAGGAAAATTAAACAGGGGTTTCCGCAGGGCTGTCCTCTCCCGCTACTGTTTAATTTCTACATTTCGAAACTCCCCAGCCACCAGCGGAATTTCAATGACCTCGTACGCAGATGATGTACGATGACGAACGAGGTCGATGGCAGTAAGATCAAAGTAAGCAATACCTCTCCGATCTTTCCTCTTCTTCTGCAAGCAACACTCTCCCCACTAAATCCACAGCGACCATCTTCACCAATTGACGAAGAGGTACAGACTGGACCTGGTGAACATTCAGTCGATGGCCAAAATTCCGACAGTAAATAACCTAAATTTTAGGCGTCACTTTGGCAGTCTATGCTCTTTCATCCTCCTTTACTCCGCCGCAACAAAATCCTAAGTCGCTTGCCGACAGCTCATGGAAAAGACAAAGCAACTGGGCAACGCTACAGGCAACGCCGGCCGGTCTCAATTATGCAGCCGCAATATGGTCGCCTGGATGCGGTGACACGCAGAATAAGAACCTTCAGACTTGTCAGAACACTGCACTCCGGACTCTGCAGGTGCCTCTTGATAGTCCCCAATCGAACACCTACCATGGCAGGCCCGTATGTAAGTCCGGTAAGGACATAACGAGCTTCCCCGTTCTGCTGGGATGTTTCGCAGAACACCGCACAGAACGCCTCTGCAGCGAACAGCCTCTAGGAACATCAAGAGGTCCATGACTACGTCGACGACATCAACAGCACGTCGACCAGACTTCGGACGCAATGCTTCAGACAAGCACGCCGCCATTCTGGTGGAGCCATCCACTTAACCGCTCCTTGGTGAATGGCGTAATCAGGTCGACCACCACCCATTGCAGACCGAGAGCTCGAGTTGCCTCGCGATCTAAGTGACCCTCGCGCAACTGTTCTGGATACTGTAGCAGGTTAAACTCCTACCTATCCAGAATAGACCCTGACATACTAAACACATGTCCTGCATGCAATGAGTCTCCGCATGACACTAACCACCTCTTTGCATGCCCAACAAACCCCACTCATCTAACACCCCTTTCCCTATGGTCCGACCCCGTCGAAACAGCTCGTTTCCTGGGCCTTCCGTTAGATGACCTCGACGACAATGAATCTAGAATTTATCACCCAAACGGGGATTAGATAATCGTTATAACAACAACAACAACAGCCGTCGACACCAAAAGAAGTTCTGCGCGAAAAAATTTTTGTACACCCCGGTGTTGGACTGACCAGGGTTATTTTTTTGAAGCGCGGCCGAAGGCCGCCAATGCAAAAAGGAGTACTACGCGAAAAGATCTTGGTACACCCCGCTGTTGGACCTACCAGGGTTATTTTGTTTGAAGCGCGGCCGAAGGCCGCCATCCCAAAAAGAAGTTCTCCAAAAAAAAGTAACATTGTCATAGAGGGTATAACATAATCCTTAACATCAATGCTCTCTAGTAGTTTTTTTTCTAGGTTTTGGATTCCTGTATTTGGGGCATTATCTGTTTTCATTTCTTTCAGTTCAAGTACAAAAGATGTCGATAAGGTAACACTGGTTATATGACAATTTGCAACAGTTTTGTTATTGTCAGAATTAATAGAATTTAACAATAATTTAATTATTGAATTAAACTATTTTTGCACTATATAATGTAAAATAAATGTGTACAAACGAATTAGTGAAGTGTTAGTGGATATAAAAGTGGAAAATATAAGTGTATAACTCATTCGAAATGGGAAAAATGCGTACTTTAAATATTTTACCATACTAAAGTTTTCCCTATTCTTGATCTGAAAGATCTCTCCTATCCGCCCATACCTATTTTATACCCGAAAGCCTGGGACGGTATACTAAAGTTTTCTTAATTATTTAGAGAACCTCCTTTATCTATCTTTTGGATGCAACTCAAAAGTTTTAATAGTTTAGGAGATAAGTCACTTCAAAGGGAAGCCGTCTCCCTGCACAAGTGTTTTTGGTAAATGTATAGTTCAGGTCCCCCAACTAAGGAGGCCTCAAAACTGAAATTTCCTTATTTGTTTTTATTTTCGCGAAAATTACAAATCCGTGAGCGAAAGGTGAATTTTTTCAATAATTTATGTATGTATATATTTAGAAATATATTTAAGGCACTTTGCATATATATTTCAAGTCACTTAGTTGTTGTTATTGTTGTAGCGGCAACTTTTGCAGAATTTAGGTCACTTAGCTGTAATTACCAGTTAAGCGAGCTACAGAAAGGAGTTTTCGCGATTGAATTATGAACATCTCGGTGTTGGACCGACCAGGGTTATTATTTTGAAGCGCGGCCGAAAGCCGCCAGTGCGGAAAGGAGTTTGACGATATCCGTTCATACCATCAGATCGCGGTGTAAAAGAAATTGTGACTGTTACATTTCTTCAGTATTTTTTTTCACAAGAAAATTTTTTGCACGCTGAACTGGTAATTCCAGCTAAGTGATCTAAATTCTGCAAAATTTACCCGCTACAACAACAACAACCAAATGACATGAAATAACTGTGCAATATATATATGTTGGGGGACCTATATATTTACCGTTTTTTTTGGTTCACGGTGTATTGTCGAAGTCAAATGATAATTATAACTTACTATTATGAGAAAATTCAATCTCCTCTAATTGCCGCTGTAGCTCCGCCACAACCAATTTTTTGTACTCATAGCCAGCGCATGTTAACGCTTTCATCCAATTTTCCATAGTTTCCTGCGAATCTGCACTTAGTATATAAGTTCGGTTGCCATTGAAAGCTATTTCGAAACAGTACTGATCGCTTTCTTCGGACAATTCTAAAGCAAAAAAAAATACTGGTAATTGTAATAAACTATTAATTAATGTTTGCTTTGTTACCTATTGTACAACCTTCTACAATTATGAGTCCTAATGGTTCTTTATCTCCTTTTTTCTCAAAGTAAAATAATAAATTTCCTTTAAGTACAAAATATCGCCTTTGGAAGGCCTTATTAACTTCACCCCGCTTATTCAAAAATCCTTCGCAATCAAATGGAGGAGAAGTGGCGAAAACACACAAGTTTTTCTCGTTAATTTTCATCCTAAAAAATCGTTCTTAATTACACATTATTACAAATCCACAGGCATATAACATAGTCAATAAATAATTTAATATATGCAAGTGTCAGAGCGCGTTCACACACAGCCTTTTGTCACCGAAATTGGTTTTTTTTTGTAGGTGTGCTTTTACATTGTGACTCTTTTCGCTACTAATATTTTCAAGGCCAAATTTATAACAGAAATAATATAATGGTTTGGAAATTATTAAAAATTTATAATTTCCTTATTCCATATTTTTGTCTATTTATTATAAAACATCCTTGAATTAATTACAATTCTCATTTAAAAAAAAATAATATTCGAACTAACTCCTTTGCGGTTAAAAGAAATAAATATAAAAGCATATTAATATATTATGTCAATACCAAAAAGTAAAGATACAATTTTTACACAAAACGTGCCACCCGAACACGAGTGGCACGGTCCCTTCGTCCCCCGTCGTATTTTACATTATATAGTGAAGAAATAGCTATCAATATTAAACTTATGGTTCAATTCTATTAATTCTAACAATAACAAAATGACTGCAAAATGATAAATAACCAGTGTTACCATAACACATACTGTAAATAAGGTAACACTGGTTTTTTGTTATTTTCCAACCCTTTTGTTATTGTGCGAACTAATAAAATTAAACGGTTAGTTAAATATTGAAATAAAGCTATTTTAACACCATATAATATAAAATAAACATGCACAAACGAATTAGTGAAGAGCTAGTGAACATAAAAGTGAAAAATATAAGTGTAAAATTCATTTTAAATCGAAAAAATACGAATATAAATTGAAATTTTCAATTTGACACACAAATATCTCGAAAACTTTAAGTTTGCCATGGCTATATCTATATATTCTTAATCTGGAGGATCTCCTCTACCGCCGAAATCCTGGGACGGTATTCTAAAGTTTTCCCCAAAATCCAGCAACTAGAGACGAGTTTTCCTGTCATTCCTTTTCACAAAATTTTCCTGGTACACAGCGCACACACTTGGATGCCCTGACAGTGACCTACGATGCAGTACTCAAAGAACTCCTTGCTCTCGACCCCAGCAAAGGTCCAGGCTCCGATGGTTTACCTAACATATTCATCAAAAACTGGGCCTACCATGTGAGCCTTTGACATATATTTGGCGAATCCCTTCACCATGGTACCTTCCCGACCTACTGGAAACTGTCATACATCTCACCGATTCATAAAGAGGGGCCCAAGGCCTTGGTTACCAAATACCGTCCTATCTACATACAGTCTGCACTTGCAAAACTATTTGAGAGGTTAGTGCTTCCACAGATACGTCAGGCATTTGAAAACATCATAACAACCATACAACATGGCTTTACTAGTGGTAGATCCACCACTATCAATTTGTTTATATACGTCGACAAACTGCTGAACTCCATGGATTCCGGCAACTGCACACACAGCATTTACACCGACTTCAGCAAGGCTTTCGACCGTGTTGACTACGAAATACTTTTAGATAAGCTAAGTAAATATGGTGTGGCTGGACGTGCATTAGCTTGGATACGTACATACCTCACAGGCAGACGCTTGCAAGTCAGAGTAGATGGCCACTTATCAAGTGAATATGAAGTAATCTCTGGTGTGCCACAAGGATCTCACCTTGGTCCTGTACTGTTTAACATCTTCGTCAACGACATTGGCAACAACTTTGCTTCTGATTTCCTTCTGTATGCTGATGACCTCAAAATATTTAGACCGATTGCTTGTGTGACAGACATCATAATCTTGCAACAAGACATAAATATCCTCAGTGACTGGTGTCGAGTGCACAAGCTGGATCTCCACGTAAACAAATGTGCGGCCGTATCTTTTGCTCGCTCACACTCACCGATCCGCACGAGCTACAAACTTGATGGGCTTGAGATAGCGGAGGTCGAGAACATAAAAGACTTAGGTATCATTGTTGATAATAAGCTCACCTTCTCACACCACGCAGACAAAATTACATCAAAGGCGTTCAAAGCCCTTGGAATTATACTGAGGAGTGGTAAAGATTTCAAAAACCCTTGGACACTCATTAGACTATTCAAGTCACTTGTACTACCAATTTTGGAATATGGTTCGGTAATCTGGTCTCCCTACACTAACACGACAATCGATAAAGTTGAAAAGGTGCAGCGTAAATTCTGTAAGTCACTGGCCTATAAACTATCGTCACCAAGTCACATCTGCTCTACTGATGAGGTCTACCAGTGCTACTGTATAAAAAACTGTCTTCTCGTCGACAGGTCGCTGACCTTTGCTTTTTCAACAAAGTAGTCAATAACATCACTGATGTTCATGAGATCCTAAACAGTTTTGAACTCGCCCCTGCTGGTCTTACCCTGAGGCGAAATAGACTACTAAAAACATAGAAATCCAAGAAAAATTGAGTTATCCATGGTCCTCAGAATAGACTGGCTAATTTAGTAAATTCACTTCAAGGTGAAATTGATTTCTATGGAGGAACATACGCTGCTTTTACCGAAAACACCAAGAGACACCTGCTCGTCTGAATTACATCTAAATCAAGTCTGAATTACATATTAACTTACAATTATTTAAATATTTTCCAGATATTACACTAATATACCCTAGCCACTTTTGTATAATACTTAAATCTTTATTATATCTATGTATATTGCCGATTGGCGTTTAAATAAATAAATAAATAAATATTTCTTGTTTTAAATTAAATGTTATTCCAATTAAATAGTTTTCGTGTAAAATAAATTTGTATGAACGCAGCTTAATTTATTTAGGTTACATAAAAAATAAAAGTAACACCATTTTTATTAGAATAAATTTACATATTGTGGCGAACACGAATACCAGAACAAATCGGAATCGACGATAAACTGCCAAAAGCAACTAGACAGCGAATTCGTATTTGCCAGTATGTTCTAGTAGCGAACTTTTGTTCAGAATTTATCATATAAGGTCTGCCGGATTGTGGAGCAGACACAGTTCTAATTAGAATGTTGCCGTGTAAAAAGCAATTAAGCTATAAGCAATAAGTTGTAAACTCGAATATCGAGCAATTAGTGTTAAGTTGTTGGCATTAGAAATAAAGAAAAGTGTATAGCCAGATAGACGATTTATGGAGAAATCCGTTACAATTGGTGTAATAAATGGGATTGTCAAATAAATTCCCATGGAGATAATCATTTGAAAATGGCCAAGTTTGACGATCTGAAGATTCCACAACTGAAAAAGAAGCTGGAGCAACGTGGTTTGGCGACAAATGGAATAAAAACTGAATTACAATCACGATTGAGAGAGGCCATGGAAGCGGAAAACATTAATGTTGAGGAATATGTCTTTCACATGGAATTAAAAGAATTAGAGAGAGGAGAATTAAACATGGTTTTTGCTGCAATGTCAGAGATGTCTACGCAGATATTAAAAGAGGGTCAACGCAAATATCGACACAAATTAAAGAGCAGGATACACGTATGTCCCTACAAACGTCGCAGTTAGAAACGCAATAGTTAACGCATGTGGAAGAGCAGTTTGTAGCGCAAGATGCCCGTATATCAACACAGGTGTCCTCACAGTTGAAAGAGCAGGACGCACGGATATCTTTGGTGACCTCACAGATTTCGGAAGAACGGGATAAAATTAAAACTGAAGTGGATGAATTGAGAGATCGTCTCCGTGAGCTACAATTAAATAGGCCAATTGTGTCAACAGTTTCTGCCAAGGTAAAACCTCCATTCTTTGATGGCACTGTTCCGTTCCACGTTTTTAAGCTCCAATTCGAAAAGACGGCTTCTTCAAATAATTGTAACGCTTAAAATAAATTAGCTGCATTGTTCGTTGCATTAAAAGGATCTGCAGCGGAGATATAACAGACCATTCCAAACTGCAAAGCGAGTAGTTATAAAACGTTGATGGCTGCATTAGAAAGACGGTATGGTATTGAGCACAGGAAGCAGATTTTTCAAATCGAGTTGCGAAATCGCCGCCAGAAAGCCAATGAGTCTCTGCAGGCCTTTTCTACAGAGATTGAGAGGTTAGCTCACTTAGCTTATGCCCATAAATCCGTCAATGGAATACGAGATAACACCACAAGATTCACTGCATTAGCATGTCCAAAATTGACGTTTGCAGAAACCGTTTCGTATGCTCTAATACCAGGGAAACTGCATCTCTGCTTGCCATCAAACATTTAAAGCTCACAAAGTAGAAATAGAGGAACACACTTGGGTGATCCAATTACTTGGAAAATTGATAACAAGAGAGCACTGGAAAAATCTATGGAAGCGCATAAGAAATGGTGGTGTGCTTAAATGCGTCAACTGCGGAAAAAGTGGCCATATTGCACGCAACTGTAACCAGCCCAATAATCCAGTTGGACGTAAACGCAAAGCTGCGGAAGATCAACAAATGTCAAATCAAACCAATCGTTAACTAAAGCGAGCCAGCCGAAAAGGGCACGGGTGGCTTCCGCAGCAAATACCCTGTAATCTCCATTTCACAAATAAGCAGGAATACGGGTAACGTTACCGTTAGTGGATGCGTAGACGGTAAAAAGCACATACTGACTGTGAATACGGGCGCATCACATTCCATAATTCGATCTGATTCTGGTTGAGAAAGATGTGAGACCGTTAGCTGGGCAAAGTTGCGTACTGCAACTGGAGAAGATACCCTAGTTCTCGGAAAGGTAACGTGCGAGATCGTAATTGAAAAGGCAGCCGTGTTACACAATTTTATAGTGGCAGATATCGTTGACGAAGTCATAATTGGAGTAGACTTTCTACTGATGAAGGAATCAAAATTGACATGAAAACAGGATTATGTCCTATAGAAATTGGAAGTATTATGTTCGGTTACGATAATAAGTACTACGTTAGACGAGTGAAACAACAGGAGCAGGAGATTCCATTAACATCAGACTGGGATCCGGAGAAGCTACGGAAATGCCAGCAAGTGATCCTGATTTGAAAAGTGTAATACACGGATTGGGAGATGAATAAACGTCCACCGAGAGAAGAAATAGCTGCAGAAAGCCCAGTCGTAAAGGCTTATTGGCACAATGGAATAGTTTGAAGTTAGTGTCTGGCTGCTTGCATCGCATATGGGAAAGCGAGATGGGCAAAGTTCACGAGCTCTGATGATGTTCCAAAGTAGAATTCCTGAGTTCTCAACGAGCTGCACAACGGTCCAAGTGGAGCACACTGGGTATCACTAAAACCTTGGAGAATTAAAACCAAGACTTTATTGGGTGGTTTGTCGTCAATCATTACGGAGTGGATCGCCAATTGTGTCGAGTGCATTGCTGCTAAAGGGCCGCGGTCAGGAGTCATGGTCAGATGAAGCAGTACAATTCAGGTGCGCCGTTTGAGCGAGTAGCCATGGATGTAGCTGGTCCATTTCCTATCAGTAAATTAGGAAACAGATATGTTTTGGTAGTCATGGACTATTTCAGCAAATGGCCAGAGGTGCAATTCCTAACCAAGAGGCAGCAACAGTAGCGGATGTATTCATCAACAATTGGTATCGAGATATGGTGTTCAATAGAATTACATTCTGAGCAAGGGGAAATTTTGATCAGCCCTAAAATACCAGTTATATAGCAGAAGCTGGGTATCGGGAACACCCGTACAACTGCACTACATCCGCAGTCCGATGGCATCGTAGAACGATTCAATCGAGCTTTGGAAGAACATTTAAGGAAAGTTGTGGACAAGTATCAAAAAGATTGGGATACCCATATATCCTTGTTCCTGATGGCTTATCGGTCTGCTGTACATGAAACAACGGGCAGACTCCAGCAAGGGTAATTTTTTATAATGATATTCGACTACCGATTGATTTAAAATTTGGAATTAACGCCAACGGCAGAAGGAATACTAAGGAATTCAATAGCATCCTAGAAGACGAGATGAATATGTCTAATCGGGACGATAAGACTTAGGTAGAGGGCAGTAGGGCGAACACGAGTACCAGAACAAATCAGAATTGACGATAAACTGCCAGAAGCAACTAGACAACGAATTTGTAGTTGCCAGAATGTTCTAGTAGCGAACTTTTGTTAAAAATTTACTATATAAGGGCTGCCGGATTGTGCAACAGACACAGTTCTAAGTAGAGTGTTGCCGCGTAAAAAGCAATTAAGCTATAAGCAATAAGTTGTAAGTTCGAATAGCGAGCAATAAGTGTTAAGTAGTTGGAATTGGAAATAAAGATAAGTGTATAGCATTAAATTGGGACTTTAATTTAACAATCCAGTGATCGAGTTATAGTTAGACGATTTATCGAGAAATCCCTTAGAATTGGTGTCAGAAGTGGGATTGTCAAATAAATTCCCAAGGAGATAATTATTTGAAAATGGCCAAGTTTAACGATCTGAAGATTCCAGCACGATCTGCAGCAACGTGGTTTGGTGACAAATGGATTAAAAACTGAATTACAATCACGGTTAAGAGAGGCCATGGAGGCGAAAAACATTAATGTTGAGGAATATGTCTTCCACATGGAATTAGAAGAAGAGACAACAAAGATAGAAGAAAAAGACTAGGCTCAATGCACGTCAAAGATTGTGAACATAAACATGGTTTTTGATGCAATATCGCAAATGTCAACGCAAATATCAACAGAAATATCGACACAATTTAAAGAGCAGGATGCACGTATAACCTAACAAATAGCAGAGTTATCATTCCAAATGTTGACACAACAATCCCAATTGTCCTCGTTAGAAAGGTAGTGAGCACAGGAAGCAGATCTTTCAAATCGGGTTGCGAAATCGCCGCCAGAAAGCCAATGAGTCTCTGCAGGAGTTTTCTACAGAGATTGAGAGGTTAGCTCACTTATCTTATGCCCATAAATCCGTCAATGGAATACGAGATAACACCACAAGATTCACTGAATTAGCATGTCCAAAATTGACGTTTGCAGAAACCGTTTCGTATGCTCTAATACAGGAAACTGCATCTCTGCTTTGCCATCAAACATTTAAAGCTCACAAAGTAGAAATAGAGGAACACACTTGGGTGATCCAATTACTTGGAAAAATTGATAACATGCAGAAAGCACTGGAAAAATCTATGGAAGCGCATAAGAAAAATGGTGGTGTGCTTAAATGCGTCAACTGCGGAAAAAGTGGCCATATTGCACGCAACTGTAATCAGCCCAATAATCCAGTTGGACGTAAACGCAAAGCTGCGGAAGATCAACAAATGTCAAACCAAACTAATCGTTAAACTAAAGCGAGCCAGCCGAAAAGGGCACGGGCTGGCTTCCGCAAGCAAATACCCTGTAATCTCCATTTCACAAATAAGCAGGAATACGGGTAACGTTACCGTTAGTGGATGCGTAGACGGTAAAAAGCACATACTGACTGTGAATACGGGCGCATCACATTCCATAATTCGATCTGATCTGGTTGAGAAAGATGTGAGACCGTTAGCTGGGGCAAAGTTGCGTACTGCAACTGGAGAAGATACCCTAGTTCTCGGAAAGGTAACGTGCGAGATCGTAATTGTAAAGGCAGCCGTGTTACACAATTTTATAGTGGCAGATATCGTTGACGAAGTCATAATTGGAGTAGACTTTCTACTGAATGAAGGAATCAAAATTGACATGAAAAACAGGATTATGTCCTATAGAAATATGGAAGTATTATGTTCGGTTACGATAATAAGTA